GGGGTACCTCTCGGCACCGAGGAAAGGCTCATCTCGGAACCGAGGGAGGTATGCCGACCGAGGTACCATATCAGACCGAGGCCACGTGTCGGTTGTAAAACATACTGAATGCATGATTCTATATGATGGGTACCTCGGGGGCGAGGACCTTGTGCGCCGATGGTGCTTGATCTTAACAACAGTGTTTTGGTAATACCGAAGACACGTGTCTTGATTTTGGAGCATTTCAGAAAAGTGCCATCAGNAGTTCTCTGTTTTATTTTTACTACAAAAGAAAACCAGTTCTACAAAATGAGATGGGGTTGACATGTTTTCCAAGTCAATTTTATCCCCCCTTGCAAGCTGGAAATGAAGTCTGGCTACAACACATGTAAACGGATAAGATTTGGATCGGGTTTCGTCCCATTTGAATCTCATTTAAAAAATCTAATCCAATTATCTAATTGATTTTTTCACAGTCCATATAGCATAATTAAAGTTAAATTGCATCTAAATTTCACCAAATTTCCACACACACACACACACATAAACTTCATGTCGTCTTATAATATGTATGAATATTTATATATACAAATCTGAATCTACAAAAATATGACATAACAGGGTTCAAATAAATAATCATAACTATCAATTCATATCTAACTAATGAGATTCGTATCAAAATCCGTTTGATTCACAAGACTAGCTAGTTGCTACTGCTGGGGTCCAACCTCCTATAGTATGGATACCTAATTGATCAAGCTTTAGGCTGATGCATACAGTATCTATTCAAATCCAACCAAGTTTATTCCAATCCCCTGGAGATTCAAGACCAAAAGCCATCTCCCAATTGGAGCTTCCTTCATCCTCCACCTGGATTTCCCCTGAAAATGAAGTTCCAGGAGAGCTTGCTCTCTCCATCATTGCAATATTGGGAGAAGATGCTGCAACAACCTCAATCTCATGATCTCTATTAGCTTGTGGAATCATTCCCTCCTTTGCCTGTGTTCCCNTTTTCTTGATCCGGGGCATAGAGAGGGATCTGATGATATCCTGCTCGGGCATCCAGGAAGTCCATTCGTTCATATCCGGCAGTGGCATCTACCAGCTGGTCCACCTTTGGCAGGGGTAGTCGTCCTTGGGACATGCCTTGTTCAGATCTGTAAAGTCTACGCAGACACGCCATTTCACCCCTTTCTTCTTTGCGCACACCGTATTAGATAGCCATTCTGGGAATTGTACCTCTCGAATGGCGTCGGCCTTCAGAAGTTTGTCAATTTCCTCGTTGACCGTGCTGGTGTGATGCGGGGCCATGCATCGTGGCCTCTGTTTGACTGGCTTGTGCGACGNGAATCTACAAAAATATGACATAACAGGGTTCAAATAAATAATCATAACTATCAATTCATATCTAACTAATGAGATTCGTATCAAAATCCGTTTGATTCACAAGACTAGCTAGTTGCTACTGCTGGGGTCCAACCTCCTATAGTATGGATACCTAATTGATCAAGCTTTAGGCTGATGCATACAGTATCTATTCAAATCCAACCAAGTTTATTCCAATCCCCTGGAGATTCAAGACCAAAAGCCATCTCCCAATTGGAGCTTCCTTCATCCTCCACCTGGATTTCCCCTGAAAATGAAGTTCCAGGAGAGCTTGCTCTCTCCATCATTGCAATATTGGGAGAAGATGCTGCAACAACCTCAATCTCATGATCTCTATTAGCTTGTGGAATCATTCCCTCCTTTGCCTGTGTTCCCACTGGGCGTCGATCGAATGCTCGACAGCTTCCTGATATGACGTATACTCGACATAGACTCATTTCATGCCTCAGCTGCATATGAAGAAATGCTTAATTTATTAGTTGAACTTAAATTAAAAAAATATATATTTTTATTAACGGAAATTGTTCTAATCACGTGTCTTTTTAGATTGGTAGGTAGCTGCAATGCAGAAACACCCACCAAACCATTGACACGAGTTAAACCCGAATTTTATGCAGCTTTGTTCTGCCATTGAACCAACTTGTGCGGGTTTTTCAAAAACATTAACAAAATTTGCATTAATCAGCAAAAATCTTATGTACCTTTGGAACAGAACAGCTAGATGGAGTGGTCATTTCTTCTTCAATGGCTCTGTACTCGTTCATCTTCCACTTGGTTTTTCTCCCAGCAGGGGCTTTCCCTTTGTAATACACCATGGTTTTCTTCAACCCTACCACTCGATTATCCGATGAGTAAACGTAACTTGGAGAGCCTGTGGCCTTCCAGTACCCGGACTCTGTGGTTCGATTAGGTCTCCCTCCTCTTGCTTCTCTTTCTTGTCTAGGAACAAAGAAAAACCACTGCTCAGTGTCTCCATGGCACAACTCTCCCGAAAGCTCTGCATCAATTCCCATAAGCACACAACATTTAGTTGCTCCGGTCAAATGTCCGTCCACGTTGGAATTAGGATATTTATGAAGAATAAATTCGTCATGATCTAACTTCAACTTCAAGGGGTTGCCAAGACGTCTGAACTTACAGTTTGTCTTCGTTACTATTTGAACTACCCCTTGAAGTTAACGGAATTACTTTTGCATGAACAAAATTAGATTGAAAAGCGTTGTCAAATGGTACATTAGTCTACAACAGGAAATGTAACTGTTTGTGAGTATCTACTGAAGTAGTGTTAAAAGAGGAAGAAGAACTAACTTGGAAGCTGCCATGGCTCTACTTCATAAATGTCGACAACCGGGATAACCCGATTCAGCTCCTGCCTCTTCTCCTCCAGTTTATTGTGCAGATAGAAGGTAATTAGCTCCTCTTCCGTCGGGTAGAAGCGAAAGCCTGGCGGAAAGTCCTCCATTTTTTGTCAAATCACTCACTAAACAAGACTCTCGTTCGTGCAAAGAGTCTATTTTTGAGCCTTATCTTAAGAGTAAGAGCTACATATTATAGAGTGATGGCTTTTGTTATTGAAGTGATCTATATATATAGAGTGCTAATAAATTAGACAGCAACCCATTGTTGCCGAGTGAAAGGAGAAAAATTGGCTTGTGCTGAGATTGTGGCTGTAAACTTCCACGCGGTTGTGCAAAGAAATAATGATATTTTGTCCAATGATATTCATTGTAATTCCATTTTTGAACTAGTCAGCAAAGTTTTTCTTCTATGAGTTGCAACTGCAGGCTTGGTTCTCTGCACCCTTGTAATGAAGGGTGAGATAATTGAGATGACCTATGATCAGTGTATAAGGATTCAGATTCCCTTAATATTTTTTTTTGTCCCTCTTTTTTGGACAAATCATGCATAATTATTAATAAGTGAGAGACCCAATTATACATAGGGTTGGTAGTCAAGTCAANCCTCTTTTTTGGACAAATCATGCATAATTATTAATAAGTGAGAGACCCAATTATACATAGGGTTGGTAGTCAAGTCAAGCTACTCAGATTCGACTCAAATAGGATTCGATTGAGCTCAGCTCATGCTCTAAACGAATTTGAGTTTGAATAATTTTTTAGACTCATTTGAAAATGAGTATGACAAANGGATTCGATTGAGCTCAGCTCATGCTCTAAACGAATTTGAGTTTGAATAATTTTTTAGACTCATTTGAAAATGAGTATGACAAAGTTGGATTCAAGCTCGTATAGTTCGGCCCGATTAATAGCTCTACTTATATACCATGGGTCTCACTTGAATACGATTGGAGACCCAATTATAGTATGACTTATTTTGCTTCTAAAGGGATTCGAAGAGGAAACCTGGTTAAAGATTTCAATTATTCTCAGTGTTTTTCATTTTTCCTTTCTTTAGTCTCCAAAACACCCAAAGCAAGTTCAACTTGTTTCCCATTTTTTGTTCTTTACATTCTTTTGTTTTATTTTCAAAAATTATAGAACAAAAAACTCAAATAGAACAGCTTCTCCTTGTTTTCAGAAGTTTGAAAACAAAAACTGTTTTCAAAAATTAAACCAAATAGAGCCTTGACTTCGTTGTTCTACGAAAGATTGCAGTATGAAAATTGGATTAACTTCCATTGATTGTTAAGAAAAAAAACTCATTTCATTAATAGGTCGATTCAAGGTGAGTAATGAAATCCCCTTCAACATTTTTTTTTTCTCACTATTTTTTATTTTTTTTTCCGTTCATTAATGGTGAATGATCAGTTTAAAAAAATAATGAAGGGAAAAAATATTAAAAATGATATGAATCAAATATACTTGACAATTGAAAAGGGCTACCCTTATTGTTAGATACACCATTAAAAAACAAAGGAAAGATGAGTTTCAAATGTTATAATTATTTAATTTTGTTCGAGACGCGTTAAGGATGACATAAACCACTCGTAAGAGTGACAATACCAAAACGCCTGATCCACAAGTAATCTTTTGTATACGTATTGCTTGGTGACAATGACGCTGATATTCAAGTGTTATTAGCATTTAAGTAGATGCTTATGCCCCAAGGGGTCCTTCATACATATAGGAAAATTCATGTTTTGACCCCCTCATTTTCATCCTTTTGTAGCACATTACCTCCCCAATAGTCGAGTTTCTCATATTATATTTACAAGGGTTATTATTTCTCTCACATTGCCTCTTTAATTATCAAATTTCTTATATTACACCCCTAATTATGGTTATTGATGTTACATTACCCCAATTAAGACAAATAAAAATTTGTTTTTTACTATAGAGAACATTTGATTTTGGGTCATTTTCAAACAAATTCAAATTGTTGAGTAGCCAATGCAAAAAATTCAAATGTAATTGAGATGCTAGCCATAGTTGAGTGGACCAAACTATAATTTACTTGTATATCGATTGCAAAAATTTTAATTTGACCCCCTCAATTATTCACTCGATCTCAATTTGTCTCTTTAATTATTATGTTTCTCACATTATCCCCTTAATTATCTGAATTAGTTTTGCACTGTCCTGAAATCAAACATCATATATGTTTTGGACAAAAAAAAAAAAAAATCCAAACGTGAAACCAACGACACTAACTGAAATTGCTCTTTAAGAAACTTGATGGTTAAGCGGACAACATGAAAACATTAATTATAATTGTTAGGTGTAACATAAAAAACATGATAGTTGAAGGGGTGAAAATATAATTCACCCAATATGTCTATTTCAACGGTAGTAGTTGTAGGGC